ACAACAGGGATCACCATCAGGTGGATCGCTGTCAGCAGATAAATAAAAGGCAGGTCCCGTGGATCGTTGATGTAACGAAGCCAGAATTTATCGTATGCGGTGTACTTCTGCTTGGGAATATAAACTGGATCGGTGATGGTGGTCAGTGCCTTCATTCTGTTTTTTAATTGGTTACGTGTTTTCGACAGCAGACCGGCCCGTTGTGGCTCGGGCCCGGATATTGATCAAACGCTGCGAAATTACTGCTTTCTGGCCTAAAATGACTTAAATCTTATTGATTAAAATCAGGTAAAATTTTAAATCCCAATGACTTAAACGGATATTCCGGTCACTTTATGCTGACTTAGTTTACTTTATTTATCCACGTTAGAGATGGCCAGGTTCCGGGTTCTTTTTCCCAGTACCCATCCCGAAATTCTAAATGGCAGTTCTGCTACCTGCCGTACTGGTGTATTAACATTTGGTTGCCTTTCATTAACCAGCGAATAACACCGCTTCGCTTTTTGCGCAGATACTTTTATATCGTCGATTTATGAGTCAACCATCTCAAATATTTCAAACATCCTCCCGTCTTCGTTGGAATGCCTTCCGATGGGGATCATGGACCATTGGATTTTTACTGTTGGCCATGCTCATCATGGTTTTCATAGCCATTGTCAATGGATATAAGCCTTTACTACCCGGCTTAAGCGCCGCAGGGTATAAAAAGCTGGACAAGCCCGCCGTACCCAGGCACTTTTCATCGAGCGACTACAAGCGATACCACGGTTTTCATGAATTCCTCAAATCACATCAACAGCAAAAATATCATAATGCAAGACCTGCATTAAGTACCTCCCGAATCCGGGCGGCGTTTTATGTCGATTGGGACCCGCAGGCATTTTATTCCTTGCAAAACCACATTGATCAGTTGAATATGGTGATGCCCGAATGGTTCTTTATCGATCCGGCGGCTGATACACTTGTCACCCCCATCGACAATGATGCGCTTCATTTACTGCGGCAACATCCCGGTGTACGTGTACTACCCATATTAAGTAACGTGAATACCACAACGCATGATGGGAACTTCGACGGCAAATTGCTTTCTAAAACCCTGCGCGATCCTTTGAAAAGGGAGAAATTACTAACGTCGATCGAACAACAACTGAAATTGAATCATCTGCAGGGCGTGAATATAGATTTTGAAGAAGTGGAAGAGCGTTGTATCGCGCCGATGCATGCGTTTCAGCGTCAATTGTATGAACGATTACATAATGATGGCCTGCTCGTTACCCAGGATATTTCAGCGGGCAATGAAGACTTTCACCTGGCCCAGCTTGACCAGTACAATGATTACTTTTTCCTGATGGCCTACGACCAACATTATCCTTCCAGCGTACCAGGCCCGGTGTGTGAACAAAGATGGATTGAAAAGCAGCTTGACGAAATTGCTGCGGTAGTTCCATCCACGAAAATAATATTGGGCCTTGCTGCCTATGGGTACGACTGGCCTGATGGCAGCGAAGGTGCTACTGTAACTTACCAGCAAGCACTTTCAGAAGCAAAGGAGTTCAAGCGTCCTGTTCAATTCAGTAACGACTCGTACAATTGTTATTTCGACTACGGCGATAATGACAGTGTTCATCATACAGTCAGTTTCACCGACGCTGCCAGTACTTTCAATACTATGCGATTCGCGGATGAGTAC